CGATACGATTATGCCCAACCCTACCGTGGAGAGCCGTTAACCAATATGCAAATTAGCCTGCAGAACCACTGCTCTACCCATATGAGCAGCAAAAACACGTTTTTAGACCAAATATTACAGATTTGAACAAATACGCACAAAAACATCAAAATTAGCATAGAAACAGTACTATATAACATTTTAGACACATTCTAGACAGTTTATCAGCTAAAAAGTTAATTTTGGGGTAAGTTACTCTTTAAAAAGACCAAAGGTTATTGGACAGTTGACTTACAGAATATTTCATGAGCAGGTGTGGGCAATTCATTCGCTGTTGTTCTCAATTAAGCAGATAAAAGACCCGGAGTTGATTTGAGGTGTGGTTCTTGCATTTGGAAGATTTTGCTGTGAAGAAACCATGTGGTCAAAGAAGCTCCTGATGCAGGTGAAACAAGCCATCCTTAAGCTGCGAAATCAGAAGAAAAAAAAAACATCCAAGAAATTGCTACAATATGAGGAGTGACAAAATCTACTGTTTGTTTCATCATGAGAAAGAAAAAAAAACACTGGTGATCTCATCAATGCAAAAAGACCTGGGCCCGTATTTATCAAACTTCTTAAGAGTGGATTTTTAGACTTAAGTGCTGAAAATTTCTTAGATTTGCTCCAACTCTCAGACTTAAGTGTAAGTGTCAGTTATCAAAATTCTTAAGTCTAAAAATCACTCTTACTCTCAAGAAAAGTTAAGACTGCTCCAGAGGACTCAAGAATTGCCACTAGAGGTCTGAGACGGACTGAGAAGACAGAAATCACACAGAGAACACAGCTGTCCTCCTTCCCACCTGTTATTCTCAGTTATAAGAAAAACAGGTTTAATCAGAAATATACAAAAGAAAGAAAAGTTTAAAAATAATAAATAAAAATTGAGCATAATTTTGGACTATAGGGCGGATATTTGTGTGTGGCTTTTGGAGAAAATGGAGAAAATATTAAATATACTCAGCTGGTGAGTGCATGCAACCCCCCCAAGAAATAAAGAAATTACGTTGGGATTGAACTTTTCGTTTAATTACTTAACAATCACGCAATACAATGAAGGAATCGGGGGGGAGGACCCCTCTTGGACGAAGCTGTTAATGACGAAGCGGGGTTGTGTGTCCGTGAAGCCGGTGTTGTCTGCACAGTGGCGAAGTGGAGAAGGGAGCAGCTCTACAGGCTCTGAGATATACAAAAAACTTTAAAGCTGCTGAGTTTTTGATTTTAAAAAATTGTGAGATTTTCATCTGTTTTCATGATGCAAATGAGGACATTTTATGTCATTTATAGACAATCAGTATAAGGTGACAACATTAGTGTGCTGAAAGTGAATTTAGGATTTACAGTTTTATCTCGACATTTCTCCAACAATATTCTTGAACATGAAATCCGAGGCAGTGATTGGTTCATGCCAGTGTTTTTTCTAAGGACGTCATCCAGGATCAGCTTTGCGGCACAGCCAGGTGTCACAAATCAGCTCTAAGGCTGACACTTAAGAATTACTCCGTCACTTCACTTAAAGTAAGACTGAGACGCTTGATAACTGACTTTTACTCTCAGCTTTTAACTCAGAATTATTTTACACTTAAGTCCACTCTTAGCAGCATTCTTAAGAGTAATTCTAAGAAGTTTGATAAATACGGGCCCTGGACCACAGATGGAAGACAATGGTGGTGGATGATCACAGAATAATCTCCATGGTGAAGAGAAACCCCTTCACAACAGCCAACCAAGTGAGCAACACTCTCCAGGAGGTAGAAGTACCAATATCCAAATCTACCATAAAGAGAAGACTGCATGAAAGTAAATACAGAGGGTTCACAAGCCACTCATAAGCCTCAAGAATAAAAAGGCTAGACTGGACTTAGCTAAAAAACATCTAAAAAAGCAGCACAGTTCTGGAAGAACATTCTTTGGACAGATGAAACCAAGATCAACCTCTACTAGAATGATGGGTGAAGGCGTGGTACAGCTCATGATCCAAAGCACCACATCATCTGTAAAACACAGCAGAGCAGTGTGATGGCTTGGACATGGCTGCCAGTGGCACTGGGTCACTAGTGTTTACTGATGATGTGAYACAGGACAGAAGCAGCCGGATCAATTCTGAGGTATTCAGAGCCAGACTGTGTGCTCAGATCAGCCAAACTGATTGGTTGTTGTTTCATACTACAGATGGACAATGACCCAAAACGTAAAGCCAAAGCAACCCATGAGTTTATTAAAGCAAAGAAGTGAAATATTCTTGAATGGCCAAGTCGGTCACCTGATCTCAACCCAATTGAGCATTTCACTTGTTAAAGACTAAACTTCAGACAGAAAGGCCCACAAACAAACAGCAACTGAAAACTGCTGCAGTAAAGGCCTGGCAGAGCATTAAAAAGGAGGAAACAGTCTGGTGATGTCAATGAGTTCAAGACTTCAGGCAGTCATTGTCAACAAAGGCTTTTCAACCAAGTACTAGAAATGAACAATTTATTTACAATTATTTAATCTGTCCAATTACGTTTGAGCCTCTGAAATGAAGGGATTGTGTTTAAAAGATGCTTTAGTTCCTCACATTTTTATGCAATCATTTTGTTCAACCCACTGAATTAAAGCTGAAAGTCTGAACTTCAACTGCATCTGAATTGTTTTAAAATTCATTGTGGTAATGTCTAGAACCAAAATTTGAAAAACGTCTCTGTTCAAACAGATACGGACATTACTGTCATTCACTCAGATTGATTAGATACTAATCTTTATAAAAAAATATTAAATTTTGGTGAAAGTTATTGAGCAGCCAGTTACTGTTGGATTCTGGTGATGACCCTACTGAACTGTGTTTCAGAATAGTAATTTCCTTTGTTTTCTGTTCAGCTTTTAGAGGTTGTGATCGCTCAGATAATTTGTTTAACTTTGTAGTAAGAGATTGTAATCTGGACCTCTGAACATGTGAGAAAGTTTCAGACCCTGTTGGAAAAACGAACACTCAGGAGGTAGTCCAGTTTGGATCTAAACTTCTATTTTCCTTTAAACTTTTCCACTCTAGTGAAGACCATGCAGAATCTGCCATTGCTGTACCTTTTGAATAAACTTTCATAATTAAAAGTTGGAATTTTCCAGTTCATTTGCATCAACTGGAACTTACAAACCAAAGTATAACCAGTACTTTTTAAAAGCATCATCTCTTATCAAGTGAAACCAATCAGCTTGAGACACGCAGGAATGGCAAAACAATTTATAAGTAGAGTAAATAAAAAACAAACAGTAACACCAGTGGCAATGAATTTATACATTTAAAATGCATAACAAAGTCCAGTTCAGAAGTCTGAAGAGCTTTATCCAAGAACTGCCACATTAGTTATAAGATGGTCCTCACCACTACACATCAAAACACACCAGGAAACAACCCAAAAGGATACACAGGATCCAAGGTTCATGGTCCAAGAAGGTGCTGTTTGCAAAGAGCCTCAGGTTTGCTGCGTCCACTCTGTTGAAGTGACTGCACTTGGTGAACCATGAGTTTGGCCTTTCAGTGAAAATTATTCATGTGCTGGAAAGTAAAGTTCTAATGAAAAGAAGAAAACACAAAGACTTGTCTTTTTTTTTTCTTTTAAACAGTAGAGAAAATAAGCAGGCGGCAGCAGCTTGTCATCATTTAAGCTTCTTTTGCTTGTTGATTTAACAGGAAAATCCAAGTCTTTTCTTCTGAGGTCCTCACGCCATGTAGGAGTTCTGGTTCTTGAGTTTGTCAAGCTCTTTGCTCTGCTGCCTCAGGAACAAGATTCTGGTGAGGGAAAGCAAAACGTCAAAGAAAAGTATCAGTTGGTATGAATGTGTTAGCAACTTTTCTGTTCATTTCTCCTCTTTACCTCTGCTCCCTCAGCGTGGCCTGAATTTCACACACTCGAACCAGGGAGCGAAGGTTTTTCATTTCTGTGCAGATTTCAGACATGTACAGGCTGCCCATGTTGTGGAAGTCCTCCCGCAGCCGAGCCACCTGGTCAAATCGAACCCATTTGCATGATGAGGACATAACCCCAACAATACAATCTGAATAGAAACTAGAGACCACAGCTCTGGAAATCTGACCTGTTTTTCAGTGTTCTCTGAAGGCCACCCTTGGATATGTCTGGTGAGATTTTCATCAAAATGAGCTGCCAGGGAGGGAGTGAAGGAGCTGGGGGCTTCAGACTGGGTCTGGATGGTGCTGACGAAGGACGCATGAGGCATGGCAGATACGTTTGATCCTGTGCACACAATCTCCTGGCTGCTGAAAATAAAATAATCTGTTCAATGCATGCAACTATAATAACATTACTATTATTAATAATATTAATACATTTTTATAAATGCCTTTCAGGACACTGCACAGCAAGAAACATACGTCAGCGAAAATTGTGTAAAAACAAATTCAGTGAAAAGAATCGTGATTTAAAACAGAAATTACACCATCTATAGTGAAGTGAAGAGGGATATGCTGAGCTAAAGAGATGGATTTTCAGACCAGAACAGAGAGAGAGGTGGTGTGGAGTTTTAGAGCTGAGGAGCAGAGTGGCCGACAGCCCTGCTCCCGTGGTGGTGAGGCGGGCAGAGGGTACAGAGAGATGGGGGGGGGGGGGGGGGGGGGGGGGGGGGGGGGTAAGGTTGTGGATGGTTTTGAAAGTGTGAAGAAGAAGTTTGAAAATGATGTGAGTCGGGAGTCGTGAAGCTGCTGCAGGATGGAAGTGATGTGGTTCTAGGAGGTTTGGGTGATGCCACGCAGCGGAGTTCTGAACTTGATCGTGTTAAAATGGCCTGCCATAACCGATCAGCCAACTGTGCTGAGATTAAAGTTTTCAGAGTCACAAAGGAGGATTTCTTTAAGTCTGGTTAGATCATCATCAGAGACTGAACTCTGATCTTAAACTGTGAGAAGCTTTTTCTTTTCTTAGTGAGATTAAAAATATTACAATCTGACTAAAAACAATATTTATGTATCATTATATTTCTACCTGCTGCTGTGAGATTTTAAAGTAACAGACAGTCCAACGAAACAAAATTAAAACTTCTATCATCGCCCTAAAAGTCAAATGTAGAGCACTGTTTCTTCACATCTAAAGGTTGGTGTTTTCATTGTCTAATTTCATACCAAGTTTATTCAGGGATATATATTTTATTTATCATTTATTATAATAAACATAAC